GTAAATCTCTGTGCATGTATCTAACTAAACTTCCGGTCGACAGGGTTGTCTCCATGCTTGGACACACAACCTTAACTAAACACTATTATTTAGGCATCTGAGATAAATAACACATTATATTTTCTCATTTTGTAGTAGAAAAAAGGCAGAAAGAACCAGAGAAGGAGGGTATTAGAGAAGACTAAGTGTCCTGTGTGTCTGAGAGAAAGGTTGTTGGCCAAAGGGCTGCCTAAGGAGCGCTAGTTCATTTTGAGTTGGAACATCTGTATTTGGACAGTGTCATTTTATTAAGAGTTTCACTTTCCTAAGAGTTGAGCATTTTCATAATTGGACATTCTGGCTAAACCCCCTAGTATGTCCACTTTCCCTAGTGAAGTTCTAGTTTTCAAATATGTGATTTTCCTCCTGTTTCTAAGTAATTGGGTAATGCCTACTCTCCAGACAGCAATCCTCTCTAGAAGGGAAGAGAGCCCTTAGGAGGGAAAAATCACTGAGATATTTATTATTTCATGATCATTCATTTTTTTTTTAGTATCTTGTATCTAGAGTTTTAAGCCAATAGCAAACCACCTTTACTTTAAAGAAATACAATAAGTATAGATTTGACAGAAAGAAACTAAAAAGGATAATTGCAGTTAGAATGTCCTAGGTATTTTCTGGTCAACTTTTGAAAGCAAGAAAGAAAATCCATGTCTAGTTTTACACAAATAGGAGAAAATTGCCAAGCTATCAAAGAGCCGAGGTAGGGGTTGCTTGGAAATCTCGACATGAACTGGGGACCTGTGCTCTTTGTCCCATTTTGTGGGGCACAAGTCATCATAAAGTGGCAAAATGCTTTCTGAAAGGGGGGAGGAGTATGGGAGAGAGTTGGGAAAAAATGAATCTGCTCGGGCAGAGACCTGGTCATTAGTCCAAAAAGATAGTTTCTTCTAGATAATGTACAAAAATAGAATGGATGTTGGGGGAGAAAGAACAGTCAGAAAGAAACAAAGCTGTAAAAATGTTTTATCTAGAAAATGTTGGCCCTCCCTAATCTTGAAACAAGTTTGGAAAAAAAAAAAAAAAAGAAGAAGTCTAACTAAGCTGCTTCACAGTTCATGAGATCTTTTTCACTTTGTAGAAAGGTTCTGTGCTCTCCATAGACATCATGAGCCCCAGTCCTCTCCATTTCCTTCTTCCCTCATCTCTCACAGGCCAAGAAGAAGATGGCGGAGGAGGGCCCAGGATTCCCTGCCTGTCTCTTGCCCTTCCTCCTTCCTCTCTTCTACTTCTTCCTCCTTATATTAAACCAACTCTCTAATGTTTGCCCATTCCACAGTGGCTAACCTTCAGTCATAGACAGATTCACCTTATAGTCATTTATTTTATGCCATTTCCCTTATTCTCACATTTCTCTAAAATAAATCCACGTAATAAGGTTATAACAAACACAGCGTCATCACTCTCCATTCTTTGCTCTTGTGAATCACATGTGGTAGAAAAGAAAGTGTTCTCTGTCTTTTTTGACCACCCCTGGTGAAAACTATCCTCAATGAAATACCAGTAATCAATAAATGTTAAATAGCATTAGTGCAAAGCATGAAAGAGGTTTTAAGCCTCACAGAAAAAAAATGAATTTAAGACATCAATTTCCCAGAAAATTATTCTCATAGCCACCCCCAAAGCTTTTTTTTCCCCCCTCCATCAAAAGAACAAATGGAAAAAAGTGGAAATGCCAAATCAAACAAAACCCTCAGTGTTAAATGTATTTTGGAGCTTGTGGAATTAAATTTGCATTTTAAAATGAATCCAAATGCCCTTTTGAAAAATAATTTGCTTTTCTCCAAATTTTTTCCCCTATAATGACAACCAGTAAAATCATTCCTTTCTTTCTGGCAGCATATTTATATTTGGAAAAGATGGGTTATTTGAAGAGAAATTTGTGTTTACCAAATTATAGTTTAAAGAAAATTGTTGTTTGCGTTACGTGCAGATAAGGCATCAGGTAGAAATAATAAAACTACTCTTGTATTAAATTTGTTCTCATGACAGGAAGAGAGAGAAGAAATGTTGAAAGCCAGAGAAGGTTTCTAAAACTCTAGAGTGTTTTCTCTGCCCCTGCAAATAACTGAGTCAAAAAAAAAAAGGAGAGTTTCAAAATGTGGGAATAATTTTAACTCATTAATATTTTCTAATACAAATAAAATCCAGACTTTTTCATGGTGACATAGTCCACACAATGGGCTGTCACAATAATTTGAGTTTATGTGCTGGGAAGGAGCTCCTTGTGGAACAGTGGCTTACTTTTACCATCTTTTTTTTTTTTTTTTTCTTTCTGTGCCCTGTGGTCATCCTTAGGCATTGAGAACCACAGGGAAAGCTGTGCTGTGTAGACACGGCCCATGTTACTGGCCCTTATGGAGATCTTAGCCACGCCTGTGATCTTTCTCTAACAGCCATCTGTTCTCACCCAAAACTCTGAGGCCAGTAACCGAATCATCCTGTTAAAATTCTCTATCCTTTCTTTTTTTCTTTTTTTTTTTTTTAGTTGTTGATAGACTTTTATTTGATTCATTTATTCACATGAGGTGCTGAGAATCAAACCCAGTGCCTCACACATGCTAGGCAAGTGCTCTACCCCTGAGCCACAGCCCTAGGCCTCTCTGCCCATTCTTACCCATTTCCTATATTTTTCCATGACAACTAAATACTTTTAGCATTGAAGACCACCCCGCTCTCGACCATGTTGCCTTTCTCCTGGTGTTTTATTTATTTATTTTTTATTTGGAGTTATTTTAAGTTGCTGAGGGTCCCACTAAATTGCTCAGGCTGGTCTTGAACTTGCAATCCTCTTGCCTCAGCCTCCAGAGAGGCTGGGATTACAGGCTTGAGCCACCAGGTCTGGCTCTCCTAGTGGTTTTTATTAATGCTCCAGCAGTCAATCGATTTGTGAAATCTATCTGACCTTCATCTTGGAAGATTCAATGTACCTAGAACTACTTTTGGCATCCAAGGGCCACTCGGTAAACACGTACGCATGAGAAACTGAACAAAGGCATTTTCCCATTGTAAATTCCTAATATGAAAAATAAATTTCTTGCTACCAGTCTAGGGCAGCTCTTTAATTTTAATAGGACACCAAAAGCTTTTGATTGCATAAAGTTTGAGAGAGATGGAGACTTCTTGCTTATTTTTTGTTGCCTAATATGTCAAATAAACTTTTAAGGAAGCAAACAATGATGAAATAGCATTATAAGAAGGGTTCCGACTACAGTGGATTAATTTATTCAGTGGAGATATCCTACTGAAGGCCATCCCCAAGCATTTGTTTTGGGAAGAGATACAGATGGCCGTAATATTGATATGAAACCCACCCTTCGGAATGAGTTCCTCTTACCCTTCTTTCTTAGATCTTAGATCTTAGTTCTAGCTAGAACGTGATACCTGAGACTGGGCTGATTTATAAAGAATAAATCTTAGTTGAGCTCACAGTTCTGGAGGCCGGGAAGACTAAGAGTGTGGGGGCAGTGTCTGCTGGGGCTCCAACTCCAACTCATGGCAAAAAGTGTGAGAGCAACTGGGCACGTGCTGAAGAGACAAAACTCTAGTGACAGCTGTCTTTATAACCACTCTGCCCCACTCCTTTACGAAAGACATGAATCCCACTTAATGACCTTATCACCTCTCAAAGGCCCCATCTCCCAAAACCACCGCAATGGCAAACGAATTTCTATTATGAGTTTCAGAAAGGACAAACCATCAAGCCATAGCACATGGATTCCAAACCTCAGATTTTACCAAGTGATTTCACTCCACTTTTTTCTCCATGGGTCTTCCTTTTGTCCCTTTAGATCCAAATGTCATAAATGAAGTAAAAGGAAAATTAGAAAAAGATGGAGAGTCAGCTACTGGCTGTCACATTTTTTGGTTTGTATCATGAAATACCATTATTACTTTTTCATTTCAACTCATGGGTTCGAGTGTGC